AAAGAATCGAAGAGATCAATAGTGAAGTTCCCTTGCAGATCGAGAGTTTATAAAAAAAAAAGGGAAACCGACTACTTGTACTCAATCTCTAGATACCTCATCTAGTAAGGTTTAAGCCAAAAATTTTTATTGTTTACTTTTCTTTCTTATGAGAGTATCCATGCATTAATATTTTCTAGAATTTGCACTTTTTTATTTTAAGTTTATTGCTCTGATAAATACACTGAGACAATTGTTTGTGAAAAATCAGAGCCTTCTTTAAGCCACCTTGTGTTGATGTGATAATATTTGTTTTTTAACCCCTTTGATCCTAAAACCTTTCTTTCAGTGACATAGCCATATTATGTAGCCATTGACTTGAAATATAAATTATTTCCACCCTCTTTTTTAGAGTTAGGTAGAAATAATTGTTTTACTTGTTGAAGCAAAAGAATAAATTTGGGGTTATTCTTAGAATATAGCCACGAATAAGTTTGGGGTTGGGGTACTAGAGAAATTGGTCAAAAAGAAAGAAAAAAATAAGAAGTTAAAATAAATTCTTAAAAAAAATATGAATAATAAGATAACAATATGCAATTCTCTAGTACCAAGTGTACTATAAAAGAGTGATATGGAAGAAATTCAATAACATCGGAAAAATTAGGTACCTAACTCAAAAGGTTTAAGCACATTATTCTAAGTTATCCTACCCTGACATATGTCATTTTACAGCCGAAAAAAGACTTCAAAAGTGTATGTTTAAATATGACTTTGATTCATTTGGTTTGAAAAATTTTTAATTCGTGGTTAAATGCTTTTGTATGTTGATTGAGTGATTACCTTGTCAATTGAGTGTTTCATGGAGAGATGAGAGACAGGTTGAGTATTTGTATGTCGGCATAATTTTTTTAGTTGGTTGAATTGAAGCATTGAACTAGAGTGTTAATAAAAAAAATATACGTGACAAGAATTGGTAAGGGTGAGCATTTTAATTCTAATGAAATCTTCAGTGTGCAGACGAGTTACTTGAGGACAAGCAACAATTTAAATTTGGGTTTGTGATGACAGTCGTCCGTACATGATATTTAGGAAGAAATTCAGGTCAATTCTGAGTAAGAATGATTAAAAACCATGTTAAAGTGTGAAGAATTGAGCAAAAAGTCAATACAAGGAAATACAAAGACTTGGTGAAAATTGTGAAGGAAAAGGAGAGAAAACATGTGTTTCGCCACTGGAATTCTCGTGCATGCGGTGTATCTCATTGTGGCGCAATTTGGCTTGCATTACGGCACGATGCTGACTGTCGCGGACATGATGTTGTTTTTTCAACTAACACGCTTTTTTCTTTTAAAAGCATTTCTGGCCACTTTTTAGGGTTCCGAATTCCAAGATTGATAGTCACGGCAAGGACGATTTTTGGTACTTTTGGAGAGCATTTTCTTTAGTGATTTTTTGTGTACTCTGAACTTAAACTCATGGTATATTTATTTTACACTATGAGTTGCTAGATTTCTATGTCTTTTTGTATGATGGGCCTATTTTTATTCTATTGGGCATGTGAGTGATTATGTTAATGTTATTGCTTCAACATATTATTATTATTCAATTATCGCTTGTGTTCATTGCATATTGTATGTTGTGGCACACAATGTGATGTAGGTAAGAGTTATTGCTTTGATATCTTGTTTGAAGTTAAAAAAAAATTTCCGGATCAAACAAACAATTTCCAAATATCCCCTCCCCCCTATGTGTTACGTTAACTCGCACTCATTTTTCTTGTTAAAACCCAATCCTAGTGGAAACGAATCTTTTATTATTACTTTGATACACAATATTACATTTTCTAGTTTTGTTCAAATTCATATTCCCGTGATGAGAAGCACCAAAAGCAATGATGAAGTAGGAACAAAAAATCAAAGAAGTAAGAGAGTACGAGTTGTTATGACTATGGATGCAGTTTTGTTGCAAGAAGCTGTTAATGATGAGATTTATTCTCTAGAATCTAAAAGGACCTGACATTTAGTAAATTTTCCAACTGGTTGCAAACCAGTATGTTATAAATGGTTTTTGAAAAAGAAACTAAAACATAACGACTGAGTTGATAAATACAAAGCCCTTCTTGTGGCCAAAGGTTTTAGGTAGAAAGAAAATATAGATTTCTTTTATGGACCAACCGAAAGGGTTTGTGACTCATGGGCAAGAAAGCAAGGTTTATAAATTAGATAAATCTTTGTATGGTCTAAAACAAGCATCAAATCAGTGACATGCAAATTTTGATGACTTAATAATATTGAATGGGTAAAAAGTTTATGAATGTGACAAATGCGTTTACTATATATCTAAAAATAGCATTTGCAATATCATATGTCTTTGTGTAGACAAATTACTCATATTTAGATTAAGCATTCAGGCAGTGAATGTTGTGAAATTAATGTTGTGCAACAATTTTGACATGAACGACCTTAGAGAAGGCAATGTGATACTTGGAATCAAAGTCACTAGATTTGAGGAGAGAATATTATTAGATCAATCTCGTTATGTGCAGAAGATCTTAAAGAAATATAATTATTTTGACAGTAAACCTACTTGCACACTATATTATCCTAGTGTTAAATTATTTAAGAAATTGTTGATAGTTATACCAGTATATTTGTAAAGGGCACACAGGAAGCGGTATAGAGTTCTCTAAGGATAATAGATAAAATATGTCGCCCTGGCAAGCTTCTTAGTCGCACATTTATTGAAATGTGTTCCCATTATCTATTTATATCGCTCGTTGTCTATATCACTCGCCCGCTTATGAAACCATGAGTGATGTGTCCCTATCTCATAACGGTGTGGGAGAGACACTCAAATAGGAAGTCACATTCTCCAAGATAATTGGGGAACAATGACTCCACTTCTTAAGAGAAAGATACAATAATCAAGACTTTGGGTCGTAAGATGCAAGCCCAATCAACCTCTATAAATATCTCAACCATTAAGCTAAAGGAGGGACACTCAATTTACTCACCAATCACTCATTTAGAGTTTCTCACCATCCTTGTGTGAGCTGACTCTAACACCACAATAATCCTAAAACCCTCAGACAATCCTGCACAACATGGGGTTGTCACTCATTGTACTTTAACAAGTACAATTGGTGCATAACATAGGGCCTGATAAAACTAGCATGGGCCAAAATCATCATCATTCTCCACTCGTTTTCATGATATTTCCTGGGAGGATGACAAAACAAAAATCCAAGATTGCTATCAACGCCATTTATGAAGGTTTCACCAGCGGGGGAGAATCTAGTTCTACTCTCCAAATATATGCCAAGCAGGTTTTGACGACAATCGTCATACCCGTCAACCCTAAAGTAAACTTGGAGAAGGGGCTAGAGTCCAAAATCACTTTTTCCAATGAAGGCGTCATTGGCATTCTCCCTCACAACAATGATCACATGGTTATTATGGTACACCATGATGGTTGAGATATGAAACAGGTGTTAATTGACCCTGGAAGCTCAATAGATGTCCCATTCTGAAACGCCTTTCAGGGGCCTCGGCTTGACCCATATGACATTTGGTATGTCATGCGAATAGGTACAGGTGAAAGGCCACATAGCACTCGAAACGATGTTTGGTTCAGAGGCAAGCGCAAAGACAGACAAGGTAAAATATCTTGTAATAGACGTCTTGTCCACATACAACACCATCCTGGGACGGCTCGCCATCAAATTATTGAGGGGACGGTCTTTTCCACCCTCCATTTAAGCATGAAGTACCCTATACCTGGCGGACGAGTTATAGTGGTTCAGGGAGACCAGAAGGTCGCTCATGAATGTTATCAAAATAGTATGGATTTGAGAAGAGGTAGATCGATGCAGCTGCCGCCTTGTAGTTAGAGGCACAAGAAGTAGATGATATAAGTTGCGATCCTATATTAGAGACAGAGAATGAAAAGCTCACTCCAACAAAATATCTAAAAGGTCATATTGGACCCTTGAACGATCAAGTCACCAAGCTAGACACTTCTCTATCTGATTCAGAGATTGAGGAGATAATCGATCTATTGAGAAGGAACATAGACATGTTCGCTTCAACACTATCTGACATAGCATGGATATATATCGGAGTAGTCTATCATCACCTTGCCATTGATTCCACGATGAAACCAGATTCTCAGAAGAAACACAAGATAGACAAAAAGAAAAGAGCTGTCATTGAAAAAAAAGACAGCTATATTGTATTATTATATTTTGCCTTTATTTCGAACGAGATTTTTATTTTGTAATTCTTGGGATATACATTGCGACATATCTCCACATATTCCGGGTAAAATCTCATTTTGTTATTTCAATTTACAAGGAACACATCTATTTTAGATTATAGCTTTACAGAAGTTTAGCATTGGTCTCCCTCCTTACTAGATAATTGACCGCAAGTTACCACAACTTGACCTCTGATTAACAATTAGTAAATTTACTACATACTATTAGACATATTTGGATTGATTTATTTAAGTTTTTTTACAAAGCACTTGAATGACACATTTCGAAGGAATTTATGCAAACGGCCTATGACAAGTTCATAAACTATTTTCAACCTATTCCCACAAAATCACAAAATAGTTTATAGTAAAGCACGGTTTGATTATGCACAAGTACTTATGAGTGCTTTAAGTTATTTATCTACAAAGGTTCCTTTTAGAGTGAACCATGGCAGCTTAAAGAATTGTCATCCAATCAAGTGCAGAGCTTTATACAAAGGAGAAAACGTGTATCACAATGTAAAAAGCAAAGAATCACTAATCTTGTTGAGTGGAATCCAACATTGACACCTTTTTCCTTTCAAGGGACTCAAAATATGCATTGCAAGGGATATATATATTTAATCAACAAGTTCTGTGTGGCAAATTGCATCCATCATACACAGTTGGAGCTCCATATAACAGTGATAACAAAGTACTGTGTAGTACATACAAATCACTGAAAACAATAGGAATTAAAGTGAGGCGGGTAAGTACAGCAGAATCACTTATGAACAACATGATGCAGCCCTAGATCCTTCGGCGGGTCTATCAACAAGAACCATCCCTGCTGGATTTTGAGCTGGCTGAGCCCTTGGTAATCTCTTGGCTGTTAACACAAGCAATTGTAAGTTAGGAAATGTAATCAAAGTTAATCATTTTATCCAAAAAAAGAATGCTGTTTAAAAGCATGGTATGATCATAAAATGTAAGGTTAATTTTATGCTTTCTAGAACATGGGCTTTAACAGAAATCAGGAAGTTAAGGTGGACAGGAGACAATTTTCATGGACAAGGTGTCTCATGAGAAGGTTCAGACAACTATACCATGGCCTATAACCAATTAAAGATTTTATGAATTATGAGAAGGTTCAGACAACTGTGCCATGACCTATAACTGATTAAAGAAGATTTTATAACTTAACTTTGCCCGGTAATGAATACCATAGCAGTGTCTTGGACTGTAAAGTGGAGACAGATATTTTCTCAATTCCCTTAAAATAGTTTTCTCACTCCTTGGGGCAATGTTCTCCTTAACAACTTTTTTTCTAAGGGATTCAATCAAAAATAAAATAAGAACCTCATTTGGGAATTGACTCACCAATTTCATAAAATACTTCATTAACATTGGCTGCAGACTTCGCAGAGGTCTCCATGAAAAACAGACCATTTTCCTCTGCGTATACACGTGCTTCCTGCAATGCCAATGAATCAAAATGATAAATAAATCAGTAGGTCCAGGATATGCGACTGTTGATCATAGGATACTGATTCTATACATATGAAACTACCAAACATGCTGCAATGGTCAAATACACATTATCGCATATTTTGTGCCAAAATTGAAGTTTTATGATGGTAGAAAATTAGCAAGGTGGTTGTACAACTATCTTACAGAACAAAATCGGTATCACTGTAGAACCAATATGCACTATACAAATAGGAATTACCATTAAAAATAGTTATTTTATGAAGATTGAAACTTTGAATTCTAGTCTCCACATTCTTGTGGTAGAAAGATTACATCCTCTCGAACACTTTTCGAAAGCAATAGAATTGTTAATCAATCAGTGAAATCCGACAATGGAGACAATGCATGTTATGCTTGTGATTAATTTCTTTGCCAAAAATCATGCGCACATATCAACCTCTAATGCTCGGTTATTTGTTATTTAGGACCAGTACGCAAAACATGTGACAATGTTCTTATTTCTATACTTTGTAAACACCAAAAAAATTATGGTTAAGAGATTGTAATTCTTGATAACTAAAATGGAAAAAAGAAATACTGGAGAACAATAACACTTACTTCAACAGTCACTTTTCTTTTGTCTTCCAAGTCAGATTTGTTGCCAGTAAGAGCCACGACCATGTTCGGATTACCTGCAACAACACGTAATTAAAGCATTACTTGACAATCTAGTTAGGCAATTAGTAAAGCTATCATAAACCCTGTATTACTACTAGAGAGAGGGAAACCAAAAGTAGTCCATGTTTGATGTGATATATCAGAGCACAAACTCTAAAATCAAACTCTTAAATTTTCAACACAGGCATTAGTACCTAGTCTAAGCTAATCAAGAATGTACATCACTGATAGCTGAGTTCTTATAGTAACATGTATGGTAAAGAATAACTAGACATTCATTCAAATCATTTAATATCATAGGTAACATGTTGCACTCAAAAGTTCAATGTGTGTCCCGGGTTCTCTGTAAATGGAAACTGGAAGCATCTTAACTTTCACAATATTTTCATGCACATAATCATTCTGATATCATTTCATATGCAATTCAATTCATTCATATCTGTTAGACCAAAAATGATAGCTAATATACATAATAAATGACATAAGAAACATTGAGATTGACAGAAGCAGCAAAAATGCTGAACATCTGTAGGCAGCATCCAGAAGTTTGGAAATGGTTGTGTACATAGCTTAATCTCCTTTTGCAATACATCAATTCTATTATTTCTCAGGGAAAAGATAAGAACATAAAAAAGTTCTGGATCCAACAAGTTAATACCTTGCTTTTGAAGCTCTTGGACCCACTTTTTAGCTCGTGAAAATGAATCCTAAGAATAGAAGATAGAAATAATCATGTTAAACCTTATAAAGAAAATATACGTTTAAAAATCTAAAATTTTAAAAGAATAATACCAGGCTCAGCCCAACCACAGAACAAAGGAAAGAACTCATTAGCATATTTGATCTCTCCCACGTTTAGGAAAAATATGATGTCTTCCTATGAGGAAATCAAACTATGTTGTTGACCCATTATCCCATACTCAAATTAAAAAAATTTCCACCAATTATAGTTTGACAATCTACAAATATACTGTCAAATTTCACAGGATCATGGATAAATCATGTGAGAAACAAAACCATCCATGAGCCTGCAACGAATAGCTAAAGGTTTTAGGAGAGTTGGTTATTACCAGATACATTGTTTATTCAATGAATCTAAAAAACAAACTTAATCTTATAAATAGGACCAGAGAGACTAATATGGTAACAAAGCTTCCTTAACTAAGTGGTCAGGAGTTTAATCCGCGCCTCTTCCCATCACGTTAAGTATTGCAGATAAAATACACAAACCAAAACGAAACAGTGGCATTTATCTACAAGTCAAAAATAAAAGATTTCCAAATAAAGTAGTTATTCGGAAAAGATATCATACAGAGCTTGTGATGTCATAGACAATGATAGCAGCAGCAGCGCCTCTGTAATACATGGGAGCCAAGCTATGGTATCTCTCCTGTCCCGCTGTGTCCCAAATCTCGAATTTCACGGTTGCATCATTTACTGCCAATGTCTGTGAAAAGAACGCCGCTCCTATTGTTGATTCCTGAACCACAAAAGACCATAAAAACTCAGCAAAATAATCTACATGTTTCCATATGTTTAAGCCCCATCATCCACCACAAAATAACAGTGATCACAAATCAGAACCCATAACCACTCATTCACATAATCAATGTAACACAACTTCATAGCAAAAAAAATGAATTTTTTTCCCACCACACTACAATTATTTAAAGCTCCAAAATTCTAATACTCAATAAAATCGAAGAAATCAATAATAATAATTTTTAAAAAATGATTGATAAAATAACCTGAAATTCAAGAAATTGACCCTTGACAAATCGCAAAACGAGGCTGGATTTACCGGCACCCATATCCCCAAGAAGAACCTGACGAAAAAATACGGTTAAAAGGGTATAATCGGAATTAAAAAAAGACGAAGAGATAGAAACAGAGGAAAAAGTACCAATTTTGCATTGAGATTGTTGTGTCCGATCGTAGCCATAGCAAGATAATTGGATCGATCGGAAGCGAACAGAGAAACAAGAAAGATCAGAACTTTGAATTTAGGCGATACGAAGAATTTAGTATTTGAAAATGATGGAATCGAAGAGACAGAGAAAGAAGAGTCTCTGTCTGAATTCTATTGATTTTCGATTACGGTGTGTTTCCTAGCTATAGCGTCTAGCGTCTGCGTTCAAACGCTTTCGTTTTGTTTGTTTTTGTTGTAATTTTTGTCTTTCTTGTTTTACTTTTTCTCTTTTTCTTTTTTTTTTTTTCTTTTTATTGATGATAACTTTCTTTCCACTTTGTTTGTTAGGCACATACATCACTCATCAATGTCTCCTCTTATTGAGTAGATATGATGTTCTTTTTTGTTTTTTTTCTATAATCTTTTTTACTTTTTTGTATATAGATAAATCCTTTTTTTTTCTTTGATTCTAGATGTGATCCTAATGTGTCACAACTAAAATAAACAAGGATTTGTTAACTAATTGTTGGTTGTTAGTAATATAGTTGTAACATTTAACTCTTATTTTGTATTCTTAAAACACAAATTTTCATTATCTATTATATATTTATCAATATTGATATAATTAATAATTCATCACAAAAAAAAATTAAATTGTTTAGATGATTTACAGAGAGTTATTGGATGCTCTTGCGGTTGAGATTTCTTGTGATCATTAGGATGATAATTTTTGCGTGCAGGTAAGATTTTAGAAGGAGTGACGTCCCTTCTTAGTGTTCAGTAGGAGTCGATGTGGTCGGCATAGAACACTTGCCTCATGCCCTTACTAATGTACAAATAAGTGGAGGCTTGATACTTCAGCCTCAGATTCTGACGACTCTTTGATCACCTTAAGGTAGGCAAAGGAGAAACATTTTAGTTTCTTTATGGAATCATTCATTTAATTTACCATATTTCAAACAACTTTTCGAAGATATCATCATCTCTTGGAAACCGAAACTCTTGAGTGTTGCGTGTGAGTGATTGGACATGTTTGGTGAAGTCTCTTTACATGTTAGAATATAATCTTCTTTAGAAGGATAAGTGTCTTTTTCTTTTGAGTCTTTCTTTTAAAGTTTAGTAGTTACCTTCTTCTTTAGCGTTTCATTTTACTGCAATTATAAAGTTAGTGTGATATGAGTAAGAAATCACAGAAAAGTGTTCACAATTCCCAGAAGGATACTCCATTTCCCTGGGTGGATCATGTTTACTCTTCTACAGTTTCTACTTTTGCTAAAGTAGGTGGTCTTGACAATGCTTTTACAAGAGTTGGTCCATCTTTCAATTATGGAATTTTGAGTTCTTTTGAGGATGAAAGAATATGTGACAAGTATAAAACTTGCGTCAATCCTTTTTATGAATGTGCTTTTTCTACCATGGTCCTTCGTCTCTTCCTCATTGACTTCGAGATAGAGGTTATGAAACATTTGCTCGTTGCTCCTTCGTAACTTCATCCTACATGTTGAGCATACATGAAAGTCTACTATTATTGGTTTGAACACTTAAATAGAGAATCTTTTGTGGTCCTTTTCTTTCATCTTCTCAAATGCCTTCGTGACTCGACATCTCGGACTAAGGGTAAAGGATTACTCTAGTTTAAATCGACTATTCACAGCTTAAGACCTCTTCTGAAGCTTGAATCCTCTAAGGAGCAATTATTTTTAATAACCTCATCATCGGTGAAGCTCATTCTCCAGTTTGCGACATTGGCGGAAGAATTGAGGGAAGATGTGCTGACTTGTTCTCCAAGTATTGGATTGAGGGTCACTATCTGTTGAGGAACCGCCTTTATGTATACAGTGAAAAAGATGTCTCGATGAGGTTCAATACGAGAAGGATTAGTTAAATAGGTTTATCAACAATCTGGGATATATATATATATATATATATATATATATATATATATATATATATATATATATATATATATATATATATATAAAGGGAGGTACCCCGGTGGATGAGGTTGATAAGAAACACTTCAAGTGCCTTATTGACGTCCAGTTGCTGATGAGAGTCTGCTCTCAGGAAGAGAGAAAAACTATCTTTGGTAAGCCACACAACCGTTGTGTTTCTCATTTTTTGATATGCATACCTCTGATGTATTTACTATACCCATAATTGTATGCAAAATATATGGATAATGAATACCGATTTCAGCTTTTAAATTTTGGAATATGGACGGTCAGAAATAATGTCGATGTGGAGAACTTACCGACTGAAGGTGAGAAAAATACACAAGAAGGGGGTTGAATTGTGTTCACTAAAAAAGTTTGTGCTTCTGAATCGAGTTTAGATTCTAAACATAAGTTCAGAACCTGGTAACAGTTGCAGCAAAAAAACATATCAGAAGTAAAGGAAACAGAACAATGAATACAACAGATTTATCCTGGTTCCTCCCAAACTGAGAGTAGTCCAGTCCCTTTGCAACGTAAGAGATTTTCCACTATTATCAACTCATGATTACAACTCCTTATTCACTTAAGCACAAGACTTTTTCTTGCTAAGATCTATCGTTGAAGACTTATTACACAATTCGCACCTGATTAAGACTTCTCTGCTTAGATCCTCAGATCCTAAGACTTTCCTTGCTTAAACCCTCTTGGTTCAAGACTTCCTTGCTTAGACCCTCTGCCTAAGACTTCTTGCTCAGATTCCTCAAATCCAAGACTTCTCTACTCAGACGCATAGTCTAAGACTTCTTTGCTTAGACCCTAGATTCAAGACTTTCATGTTTAATCAAAATTGATCAAGACTTTCAATGCTCTAGCACATAGCATGAGACTTATTTGGCTCAAGCTTCTCAGCAAGAGACTTTGCTGCTCAAGCACATAGCAAGAGACTTTATCTAAACTACTAAACAATTATGTTTAGCATAATAGAGAATAATGTGTACTTGATACATAGATCAGATGTACATGGTAATAACCATAACAAAGACCTTAAGTACTTAATATTTCTAAGATATTTAACGTTTAATAAATCTTAAGGCCTTTTACAATTTACAACAGATAACAGAAGATTTTGCATATTCAATAGTGTTGCTTATTGTTGATTTGATTATTTCTTCATTCAGATTGAAGTACATAACACCTCTATCCTTCTTGGAATTCCTTATCCTTTATTCATCCCTTGTTAAAGATTCAAATTGAATCTCCAGATACTTATATAGCAGTTGTAGAAGACTAGCCATTGGAAGAGATAACTTGATCAAGTGTCTTTGTTTCTCCATAGTACAAGAGACGTTGAAGAGAGATACACAAAAAAATCTTATTCCAATGTGTAACATGTTTCACCATTGTATCTACCATGTAATCTTGTATTATATATTAATTGAGAGTAGATATCTGTAAAACATGACAACTCTTCTTGATCCTTATAAACTTAGACTCTAGCTGACAAACGAATTTGACAATGCAGCTTGCTTTCTGCAGTATGGATAGCTTTAACTTTATTACTAATTCTAAATGATCATCAGAAGCTAATTACATTCAAAAAGTGTAGATACAATATGTTGCTTCTTCTGATGCTGACACCTTCAGCTTCAGAGTCTATGTCAGACATCACTTAGAGAGTGTTCTTCAGATTTTGCACCACCATAAACTAGTAATTTAGCATCTCGCAAGTGTGTCCTTATATATCAGATTTTGAATATATAACTTTAAGTATTAGAACCTGCATACTTGGAACAGATAACATCATTGTTCAATACTTTGTTATCATCAAAACCCAAGAAATATATGTCATGAACAAATCTTGTTCTAACAATCTTCCCCTTTTTGATGATGACAAACATAAGTATTTAAAGAAAAATGTTGAGCAGTTATAATTTTCTTGGCAACATCGAGGTACGAGTTTTGTAAGCTCCCCCTGAGTCTAATAGTCTAAGATTGAGTTCTGTAAACTCACTTAATTACTATATTCAAGGAAAAGTATTTTAATTTTTTTAGTAACATCAGAGTCTAAGATTTGTAAGCTCTCTCTGAGCCTAATAGCCCAAGATTGAGATTTGTAAGATCCCCCTTAATTATATATTCAAGAAAACTAAAATATTATTTTAACTTTCTTTGGCAACATCAAAACCTGAGGATTGTAAGCTCTTTCTAAGTTTAATAGTCTAAGGTCGAGGTTTGTAAGCTCCCTCTTAGTTATATATACAAGAAAGCTAAAATATGTCACCCGAGCAAAATAACCATAACATAAATATGGAAAAATATAAATGAACAACATTAAATTTGAAGGGTTTAAATTATTAATAAAATATTCCTATATCTTTCTCCCCCTTTTGTCACATCAAAAAGATTTTAAAGAAACAAAAGAAAAGATATGAAAGGTGACAATTAAACCAAATGCTAAACAAAGTGCAGTATCCCGAGATGGTCAGAAATACTTGATATGGTTTATAGTAGTCAGAAATCAAGTAAATGCAATGTCCTAAGATGGTCAAAGATAAGTTTTTATTTGTTCATAAATGTACCTGAATGAATACTTAAATTTTTATATAAAAGAAGATTGACATAACGTCCTCAAGAATACATCCAGCTCTCAACAATACTCCAAGCAAAAACTAGTTATGAAGAGAAAATCTCATAACCACATTCTTCATTTGTTATTATCAAAACCTTGGCGGATTCATGGCATGAACCAAACTTGTTTCAACATATAGCCATTGCAGAAACTAGCTATCAAGGAAGTGACTTGATCAAGTGTCTTTACCTTTACTCTATAGTACAAGAGATGTTGAAGATGGATGCATAACAGATTCTAAATCCAGTGTGTAACACGTTTTACATTTGAGTCTTCAAGAGGTTTCATATTGATAGAGCCATTGGGAGCAGACGTCCGTAGATCATGTCAAATTTTCTTGAGTCTTGCAATCTTGTAGACTCTAGCTGACAGGCTAATAAGACAATACAACTTTCTTTCTGCAATACGAATAATCCACAACTTTATCACCAACTCTGAATGGTACTAGATGTTGATATACAATTACC